ATTTTTCGGAAGAACAATCGTCCGTCCTTTATTTGCAGAATTATTTTATTAGCCAGGAAAGTCAATACAAAGAAAAGTTGCTGGTTGAAATGCAGCAAAATGGAGAAAATCTGCCGTTGTTTAACAAGTTGCGAGAGGAAAATAACGTTTTAAAAGCCTTTATCGAGGGCTGCAAATTAGGTCAGGAGAAAGGAAAGTTGACCGTCCCGGACCAACCATTAAAAGAAAGGGTAGAGGGAAAACTTTGAGAATTTTTCAGCAGTAGTGATATTATTGAGAATATTAACCAAACCCATAATACCATCAAAACTCAGGCTGACATTTTACAGAATGTCCGGAGCGAAAATGAAACTGAAAAACTTATTGGCAAAATAATCTATGCTGTCAAAGACGAGGACAAATGAGGTAACAACTGAGTAGAAAAATTGGAGAAAGATATGAAAGATTATCAGGCCGATTTTGGGGTCATTGTAGCGACCTGCTATCGTCAGCCTTTAATTAAACCTTATCCACAAAAAAATATTTTTTTCACCGATAGTGAAAATTTTGCTTTTGCCGGGCAAGTGGCTCGTCTGCTTATCAGTCAGAAATACAAATTGGAATCTGGCAAAATAAAAAAAGAGCAAAGAGTTAATAATTTGGAAGAATGAATACAAAAAGAATTGCCTTATTATGGGGAAAAATTACGCCAAAACTTAGATAACTGAGAAAAAGAAATCAATAATTTACTGAGTTCGGCCCGCAAAATGATTGAAATTCGCGACCAATTGAGGAAAATGATTTTTAAACAAATCATTTCTGCTTTAAAAGAGTTATAAATTAATTATGAAAAAATATTATTTAGGACTAGATATCGAGATTGGTTCGGTGGGCTGGGGAATTATTGGAGAGGAGGAAGGAAAACATTGATTAGAAGACTTTGGAGTTCGCTTGTTTAGTGTTCCTGAAGAACCTGAAAATAAAAAATCTTTGGCCGAGAAAAGGAGAGGATTTCGCAGCCAGAGAAGACTGTTAAATCGTTGGCATTGCCGGAGAGAAGATTTAAAAAAATTTTTTGGAAAGATTTTTGGAAGTGATTTTCTCCAAGAATTTGAAAATTTCGCTAAAAAATCTACTAATTTTCTACCTGCTGATTTAGAAAAATACGAGGAGGAAAGTGAATTTTTCAACCCATATGTGGTTAGGTATCAAGCATTAAACAACAAGATTGGTCTAGCGGATTTGTTGAAAATTCTTCTTCATCTTGGCAAATATCGTGGCTATTGAGAATTTTATTTGGACGACAGTTCTGAAGAAAAAGAGGTTAAGGAGGCCCAAACAGCAGTTCGGAAAACCGAAAAATTATTTCAAGAAAAAAAATACGAAACTGTGGCCGAAATGGTAATTAAGGAGGGAAAATTTCGTCATTCACAGAACAAAAACTTACTCTCGGCTCACAACCATAATCCAAGCAAAACTTACGAAAATAAAG